AGGTGCAAGAAATAAATACTGTAAAACCATTAATTATTCGCTGATTTTTAATTTCACTATTTTAGTTTATAAGTAAAATCCGCTAAATTAATTCTATGTGGACATGTAAAACAACGATAGAACTCAAGAACTTAAAACACTGCACAAAGCATCAAAATAATGAAATAAAATGCTACTGAAAATAAATGGTTTACAGTATTGATAGATGATCTTTTTTGCAAGTTATATATTAATAATTATACAAATTTAGATGATTTATATTAATAGCTTATCATCCGTGTGTAACAAAATACAACGACGTATTTTATTCCGATACTGTCGGTTATTATTAATTGGTGAAATTGCTTTTAGTGTCATGCTGAATTATTAACATCATAACAAGCAAATTATCTACTTACTTATAGGTTAAAATAACATCAATATGAAAACAAAATGAAGTTAATTCTATCAATATTACCGATACCTTCCATGCACCAACTAAGTGCATTTAAAATATCCAAATAAATGTCTTGCTGGGTTTCTTTACAAAATTACAAATTGGAAATAGATTAATCCGTCTGTACAATAAGTAATCTTGTTAAAATCTTTTATTCAATTTGTATTGTGCACAATACAGGGATTATCCACACTCTCCGAGTATTGCAATGAAATTACAATTTTCTCTGTGTTTACATTTAGTAGAAATCACCAGGTTAATTAATTTATTTCCTTTGCTATTGATACGTATTATTCGTCCATATGCACACAATTTATCATATATTTAATAATTCAGCTTAAAATAAATGTAATTTTTGGTTTATGTGAGCTTCTATTGACAATTTGTAAAAAAAAAAAAAGAAAAGGCCTTTGCAGGAATCATGTCAATACTCCCAGACAGTTTAGTCTAGATATTTTACACTTCTATGTGATCATACTTGCATGGTCATGTTTACCTCCGTTTTAAAAAAAGTGATAAAAACAGAATAAAGTGATATGATAATTGCGGTCACTGAACCCCCCCCCCCTTGTGATTTTTTGTAAATACAGGAAATTGGTATGTAAATCTGTACAAATTGAGTTCTAATACCGGTACTGTAAAATACTTTATTTTAGAGTTTTTGGGTGTTTTGTATAGAATTTATTTTCACTGATTTTTGACAGGTTGAATGTAAAATATAGGAAAAAAGTATCTTCACTGGATTTTAATTTTCACTGAATCATTCCTTCAGCGAAAATAGCGAAAATTAATTCCAAGCGCAAATATTTTACAGTAATAATATTAATTTCTAATATTGACTTAAATCTGTGCGATATTTAAATTTACATGTAAAGATGTAAACATATGGCTTACCTAAACAATTTTACCATCACAGTGTTCACTCATGATTTGATTAATATAATAGAATCCAAAATTGGCATACAAAAATGGTGGTGAATTGGCTAAAACCATTAGCATCGCTTAGTATTAGTAAAGGGTTGGTAGTTAATTTGAAATATGGGTGTTAGCCAGGAAAAAGTTGCCCCTCCCTAAAAAAATAGTTACAATGAAAGTACACTACAATGTTATAGTGATAGGTAGTTTGTTTTCTTTTTTAATGCGTAATAACTACTGACATTATGCTAAACATTTCGCCCCTGCCATTTGAAATGGTACACTCTTATACACACACACAAATTTGTATTCTATTATACCAAGTGGTTTATTTCCAGTGCGGTCATCAATGTAGAATATATTTTGTGGGGAATCCAGCTTTTTTATGTTATAGAATTGCAATGTAAATAACTAAAATCAATTTCCAGTGAAATCGTAGGTACATGGATCATGGTTTTTCACATGCAAGTCACAAAACAGATTAAAAATAAAAAAGAAGCAAAGATAAAATGCCACTATTTTGTTGGGGGTTATTTTGATACAGGGGGTCATTTATTTTAAATTGGGGAAGGGATATTATTTTGTGAATATTTCATTTCCTTGTGCCCTTTACAGCGATCAGAGAAAAATTTTACAGTATCTGTCTTCAGTGAAGCGCCACCTTCAACTAAACGCCAGTGCCAGGAAAACGTTGTATTTACATCCCAATTAGGCGCCAGACAGAGTTAAAATTTTGGCAAGTAATGATCGTGAATTAGGTATATAAAAAAGCCACAAAAAAAATGAATGATTTCACAAATTTGACAATGGGTTCGAGTAATAAAAACATTGCAATAAGTAATTGCATTGGTCAAATACCGCAAACAGAATTTCAATTTTTATTTGCATTTCTGTAATGTTGTATTTCACCATACTGTAGCAGTAGTTTTTTTTTAATGATGTGCTTGTATTTCGTTCTGTATTTATCTTTATGCTAACTGTAACCATTTCAAGTTATGACAGACGCCAATTTGTTTGTATTGAATCCAACAACTCTTTTACGTCTTACGACGGTCATGCACATTTTTATTTTTATTTTATTCATAGAGATTCTTTCCCCACAAAATCCTTTTAAATCGATTTTTAAAATGAAACCTCTAAACAATTGCTTCAAACTACGCATGTATTTATGAATGTATAGCTGGAACATATGAAATAAACACAGTACCCTAATCTATTTTTTAAAAGGTAGCTATTTCCTACATGTAAATAAACTGTTTATTTTTAAAAACCAGTCACCTACAGCAATCATTTCAATTTTCAGTAAAATGCACATTTAGACTACCTGAATAACTCTACATCATAGGAAATAAATTGTGTAATAATGCCTCAAAGGTTATACATTTATATTTTGTATAGCAGAAATATAATGAAGAAAGAAAAAAAAAAGATATGTGAGGTCATTGACCTAATTTTTCTTCACGTTAGACTATTAAATTAAATTTAGTGTTCCCTGGTTACTCATAAGTCATTGCTAGATGATCAGCATCCAATTTAGAAAATTGCTTCATGCAGTGTTTGAATTATCTATGGATAAGTAACTGTTGCGTGAAAGACACAAGATAATATTAACCAAGATACGAGTTATTAAAGCTAGGGAGATCAGATACAACTATTCAATCCAACCTTGATTCAAGTTTATTAGTTGTTAAAAATATGAAACAAGTGAAAACTGTTTTCAGCATGCATGTTCGTTTTTCTATTATTTTTTTAACCTCCCCTGCAAAACCAAACTTTTCAACTGGTTGACCCCTGAATATTCCCATTGGTTGACCTCTAGCCATTTTCATTATAACCGTTTTATGTTCATTGCATTAAATTTTAATGACCTCTCTGTTACAAGTAATATATTACCTGTGGTCATTCTATTCTATTTCCTTTCATTTGTCTCATGTATGGATTTAATTACTCAATCAACATGCGTTTCCTTGACAACTGCAAACGATATGTCTACTTTCTTACTATTCCGAGAGTGAATAATTTGGTTAATAAAATTGATCTACAGTGTATGATTTCGTACTTGAATAACTTAGTAAGCAAACCTAATAACAGAGGTTGAAATAAACAAGTGTACATCAAAATGGTTCTCGTATTTAAAAGCTATACAAACAAGACATTTTTTTTTTATAATGTGAATAATTGTTTTAATTATTTAAATGTTGAAAATTTTGCCATAAAGCAACACTAAAAAATCTTGTTCATCAAATACTAAGCAATGTTAAAGCGTGGTGGTCGTCGCGCGGCGCGTGTTCGAATTTCATGTAAATAAACAATGTATTTTACACGCGTTGTATACGTCGCTATGAGTCCCATATCGAACAGGACGCAGCGTGACGACTGCCGCCCTTTAACAATCCTTACATGGCAGTTGTTATAATGGAGTCCAGCTTGGGGGTCAAACTTCACCATAAGGTCTTCAACATTGTTACACCACAGAGGTCATTATTTGTGTAGTCCATTACCCAAATAAAGTGCCAGTCATTCCAGTGTGTTTTCAAATAACATGTATTCTACATATATATTTACATTTATTTGTATGTGTTGGGGCTGTAGTCAAACATCTGCAGTTATACCGTACTAGCCAAAATATTGCACTCATGCATGGATCTTTTCAAGCAATGAGATCTATTTACTGGAAAAAGATTAATTATTCGCTGGGTTTTATTTTTGCATATTTTGCTGATGGGTAAATGTGTTAATATAAATCCCAGAGATTATTAAATTTTAACAAAATAATCTCTGCAACATCAAAATTGATAAAACTAAACACAGAAAATACTTCTAACAATATTTTATACAACTTTTGAGCCATGCAATTCAGGTGATGTACATGATGAAAGTAGAGAGAAATTTGAATTGCCCTCATTATATTTTCAAAGATCCAATGTGTACACATAAACTTTTGCATACCGCATTTTCTCTATTAGAAGCACATATGAACTAATGCATGCTGGGTAATCACAATATAGACATATCTGTCAAACTACTAATAAGGGCGAATACAGTATATAGCAACAACACAAACTTAGATCATACAATTTTATACAGCTCAACTATAAAAGAATTACTTTTTTATTTTTCAGACGTTCAGTATATTGGCTTGACAGACATGCAAGTAACAGCTGCAATTCATTAAGTAAGTTAATTCAATGCTGTTTATCTTAGGGACGATGTCAAAAGATCGATGTCGATGTCGGATAAAAAAACTTATTTGCTTCAGTTTGGGGGTGGGGGGGTGATGGGTTTTGAGCTCAAAAAGTTTCCATCCTACAAAAACGATTTTATTTTTTAATGAAGTCAAAAAAATCTTGGAGTATTTGTAGTTCATTTTTTTTCTATCCAATCATGGACAGAAATAACAGAAAATGAAAAAAAACACACATCCAAGACGAGAAAATGGTTTGGTCCGAGTTTAAATATGTGTGTCAAATGAGGTGCATTTGTAAAGTCTTTTTACACCCACCCGACAACCAACTGCTATGCCATTAGGAATTAAGTTTTTTATCCTACATTGATCTTTTGACGTCGTCCCTTACTGTACTATTTACCTGTTCATAATTTTAAATTTGTGTTCAATACTACCGGATATATATATATATATATTTCTATAATATTCCAGTCCATTAAGTCCAAAAATTATACAAAAAGAATGATAATCATTGTCTCCCACATTTGATATTGTGGACCCCATACAACATTCTCAATGTGAGTCCCATACTATGTCCTTGGTGTGGGTCTCATACTATGTCCTTGATGTGGGTCTCATACTATGTCCTTGATGTGGGTCTTATACTATGCCCTTGATGTGGGTCTCATACTATGTCCTTGATGTGGGTCTTATACTATGCCCTTGATGTGGGTCTCATACTATGTCCTTGATGTGAGTCTCATACTATGTTCTTGATGTGGGTCTTATACTATGTTCTCACTGTGGGTTTTATACTATGCCCTTGATGTGAGTCTCATATACTATGCTCTTGATGTGAGTCTCATACTATGCCCTTGATGTGGGTCTCATACTATGTCCTTGATGTGAGTCTCATACTATGTCCTTGATGTGGGTCTTATAC